AAGGTGTCATGATTGCTCCCATATGGGATCGTTGTTAAAAACCTTACAAATTTATTGCATCTAGAAAATTACGTTTATTTATGCTTTTACAATTGTTTTTTTTTTTACGTTATAAACATGCGTTTTGCTGATACTCACTTCTGATGATATGTATCACATCTGCCTCATGTAAGTTTTTCTAATACTTTCCCTTGCCAACACAGTCGTAAAGGCATCGCCAGCAGAAAATCTAGACTAGATCAAGAGGGGGGCTAGTAGTGAATTGCTCCCTCCTCGTCGCTCAATTTTTAAAACATAAAATAACTTTGTTGCTTTTTCTGCCAGCCATATAGAAAATCTTTGATGTTTATAAAATACTAGCTGTCTCCCACGACTCCGTCCGCGCAGAATTGAAAAAAATATAAAATTAGTAGCCTATGTGTTCTTCCAGACTATGTTCTACGTGTATGCCAAAGTTCAGCCGTTCTGGCGATCCATCTGCCTAAACATTCGCATTTATATTATTAGTTGGATTCAAAATTAAATTGGAAGAATACTAATTAGAATAATAAATGTACATTTATTCGCCTATCTCATACAAATAAATAAATCTTTGGAACAACCCTTACAATTTCCATTAGTCTTCGCCCAAAATACCCTTAAAAAGGGTTGCGAGTCATGCGTTTAAAATCCATTTTTTAATTATATCAATTATTAATGTATTTGACGAATTTGTTCGAACCCCTTCGTTACATACATTTATATTTTTTATGGTTTGACAAAAATTAGATAAGGTTTAAAGCGGATAATTTTGATTGTGTATCTCGTTGCTTTATTATAATGTAGGGTTGAGAATAAGTGAAAAAATATGTTAGACCCAAGTTGACGTTAAAAGATGCAGTACGGTAATTCTAAAGATGATTCTCAAGCCATCACCATTTAATATTATAAATGCGATTGTTTAGGCAGATGGATGGATGTTTGAAGGTATCTCCAGAACGGATTATCATGAAATTTGGCATACACGTAGAACAGAGTCCGGAAGAACACATAGGCTACTCATTATATTTTTTTTCAATGCTGCGCGGACGGAGTCGCGTGTCACAGCTAGTTTGATATAAAACGATAATGCAATCTTGGGCAAATTACAGTTTTCTAATATTCTCTTTCTAATCCCACCCTTTACTTGTATAGTAGGGGCGGGAAAAGAAAGTGGGTTTTAGCCTAGAAGTGGACGCATAGAATGTGGAAATAACCTTTTATGTGCGTCTCTTCCTCGGTCGATTTAAGGAAAGCAACGCATCCTCAACAGCGGGTATAGGTATGCTAGATGATAGATATATTATGGAAATAGAACTTTTCTGACCCGCCGTAGGGAAAGTGTACGGACCTGATGATATTCTGTGAATGGTTGTGGTCCCTAACAACTACCTTTTAATATATGGTATAGTTTCTTGGTTAAATTTAAAATTGTAATAAATTTTAACTTAGAAAATGTTCCTAAGGAATGCTTGATAGTATAATATTTATGGATGCCATGTAAAGTAAATCCTTTTTGCCCTTATTTTATAACTCTATGCGAGTCTCAAAAGTAATATTATCATACCTTCATAGACTACGAGTTGTTTGGTATTAAAACTTTTGACGTATTACCCTTCCTTCTTACTTAATGGCCGGCAACGCTAGTTGTTGTCGTTCCTCTCGTGTTGCAGATGTCCATGGGTATTGGTGATCTTTAAATACAAATTGTCTCACAAGTCGTGGCAAGGGGCAACCTCTCATATAAAAAAGGTTACTTATGTCCTTATCACAGGATGTTACAAAAAGTGTTATTTCCCTCATAAAGGAACATCGTCTTATCCATGTCAGCGGCCATGGAGGCGATGTATTTGGCATACAAAGGGCAGCACAGAGGCGGCACTATAATGCGTTGTGTTACGTTAATATCGCTAAATTATAGGAGTGCGTTAGCGACGCTTCTGTGTTGACGATTGAATTTAATGAGGCTATTTGCGCAGACGCCGACAATCGACACAGGGACAGACTGCTGATGAGGCGGTGGGAACTAACAGCAGCGCCACATTATTGTTCGTCGACTTGCTTATACCCTATCTTATATTGACTATGTATAGCTGCAGTTAGAGAATGTCAATCTTATAAGTCTTCAAAGTATTTTCAATTTTAGACCCTTTTAATACCAAAAAAACAATTCATACTTTCCTTTCCTTCGTTTACTTGCAGTAACTATTTCTACTAACTAAATAACTATTAACCCCTATAAGAAAAATAACTATTATGCGTGGTTTATGTCGTTAGAAAAACGGCACAAATAGTGAACTTTGGATATCGTCAAATTTTAACGAGGAATTGCTTGATTTGTAATGTCGTAAACATGAGTTTCCCCATCATTGAGTTTCCTTGAATAGCCGCGAGGGCGCGCTGTCGCCGCACGGGCTGTTGGATCTGAATAGCGATAGTTAGCTCCCCACGCATTAGGCACGGACGATTGCCGTCGAGAGTGCACAAGCCAAACATAGACGCAGATTGATAAACAACATGGGTTGATAATCAGTACTTAATTTTTTTTTAAAATTATCAAAATTGTTACCCACGAAACTTTTTCTTAGATATAATAGTGATATCTACCGGCAAGTTGTACCAGCTACATTATGGTTCGTGGACAAGGGCTTATCAGCCTTCACAAATCAAGTTCAAGTCAAGTTTTATTTATTCGAAATAATGTTAAAGATTTTTTTTCTTATATAATATTTTTTTTTAGAAAAGACACAAGTTGTTCACACTTAGATGTGATTGAATAGATGACACGCAGTAGAGTGGGGTGCTATTAATGCCGATGATGTCCGAGCGACGGCGCGGCGCTCACACCGACATCAATAACTATCCACTTCTTTAATCATTGCAATTTCGAAACGAGCTCGAGCCTCGGTGTCGAATAAATTTCGTATAATGTAAACGTGATAACAATTTAAATTCTTCTGTGAGCCGAGCCCGGCGCCGACAAAACGACAAACAGAGCCGGCGTCTCGCGATTGGCGAGAACGCGCAGGGCGGGCCCGCGGCCCCTCCCGGCGCGCTTCGGCCCGCGCCCACAGTGCGCGCCCGCCGATACGCCGCGAGAGACGTCCGCCCCGCAAGCACGCGGCGACACCAGACCCGCGAAGACATGCCGCGGCCCACGCGCGACTCCTACGGCGACCAGAAGCCGCCCTTTTCCTACATCGCCCTCACAGCCATGGCCATCTGGAGCTCTCCGGAGCGTATGCTGCCGCTGTCTGAGATCTACCGCTTCATCACAGACCGTTTCCCGTACTACCGGCGCAACACGCAGCGCTGGCAGAACTCGCTACGCCACAACCTTTCCTTCAACGACTGCTTCGTGAAGGTTCCGCGGCGGCCCGACCGGCCGGGGAAGGGCGCCTACTGGACGCTGCATCCACAGGCCTTCGACATGTTTGAGAACGGATCACTGCTGCGCCGTCGCAAGCGCTTCAAGCTGCACAAGGGCGAGAAGGACAGCCTCAACGCCGAGTTAGCAGCTCTGGCAACCTTTAACAGAGCGTTTTTAGCGCGCCAAGCGAACGCACCGCTCCCGTCGGCGAGCCTATCAAGTGGAATGTACGCTCCCAACGTGACACTTTGTCCGAGACCTAGTCCTGAGCCGATCGAGGTGCCGGACACGTCGGCGCTCCTCCCGGCGTGTCCACGACCACGACGAGCGTTCACGATAGACGCGCTGCTGGAGCCGGAGCCGAGTCGCAGTTCGCCGTCTCCGCCCGTGCAGCCGCAGCCGACGCCGCCGCGCTGTCCCCTGGCTCTGCCGCCGAATCCATACCTGGTGGCGGCCCAGCGCTACCACGCCGAGCTGCTGGCGGGCCTGCAGCAGTCCTGTTTGCCCCCGCTCTGGACGTGGCGTGACACCAGCCAGTTCTCACATTACACACTTAATTCATGAATGGTATGTAGTCTTATGTTTCTTGGGATTTGAATAAAAGAGCCTGGCACTAAAGAACCTGGCACTCCTTTTGTAGAACGAAAACCTTACATAGACGCTATGGTTGCACATAGGTGTCATGACTAAACGCAGCACGTTTACTGGAAATAGTTATATAATTTTTTCACTTGCTTAAATACATTATTCAAGAAATAGCAGCGGTACGAGTACAACTTACATACAATACATACAAATTAAAATAAACTACATATGCTATATTTGAATTATTAAACATTTTCACAGATACAATAGCTTGTCGTGCACTATTATAAACCAAAATACGTAATATATTAACGGAGCGTTGTCTGACAACTTAATTGTTGTACCATGCCAAAGCAACGCTGATAAAATCTCATTACAACAAACTGAACAATGATATAAAAATTGTTTGTGATAATTTGTTTTGTTTGGTAACAAACTCATAAATATGCGAAACGAAGTTACATAATAATAAAAATTATAACTTGTAAAGATGTTCTCTTAACTTTTTAGCAAATTAGGTATATATCATTTTAAAATCAAAAATTATCAATAGTGCTATACCAATATGACGTTGTAATATGACTAGTAAGATTATAAACTGACGATGTTAACAATGTGACTTTAGTCTACAAAATAAATTCTACAGGTACTAATACGATACAGATTCTTTGTATTCAAATAGAAACACGAAGATGTAAAAAGTTGTTAACAAGGTTTTAATCAGATTAAACCTAAAATAACCGTAGATAAGAAGTAAAGGTCATGTGAATTAAATTAACTAAGATTAAGATACAAGCACAAGTTCTCAACACGTACAAAAATGATAAGCATTCAAAATAAAACCAACAAGTGTGACTACGCGAAAACTTAATTAAACTTTTTGTACAATTTTAATTAAACTTCTTAACTTTTATGAAGAACAAATATTCAGAATAATTGTTTTTCTTTCTCACATACGAGTACATCTTACTAATCTTACTATCTTACTAATATTATAAATGCGCATGTTTGGATGGATGGATGTTTGTTTAAATGTAACTTCAGAAATGTTGCAGGGATCTCGCTGAAATTTGACATAGATGTAGAACATAGTTTGGAAGAACACATAGGCTACTAATTATGTTTTTTCTAATCGCAAGGACGGAGTCACGGGCGACAGCTTGTCTAGAAATAGGTAGTAGCTAGTACATTTTAAGGTATTTACACAAGTGATAAATAATTTATTAAAAAAAATAAAGGATAGAATCTTTAAATGATGGTATACAATGGCTTCAAGTTTTTCTTCATAACTTTTTTACTTATTCTTAAGTATAAGTACTCGGCAGGACATCTAGGCCTTAAAATACAAATTGAAATAAAAATAGCTGTAGGTTGTATGACTACATTTTAATTTGATTTTATCATTACTCAATTTAAAGTGAATTAGGCAACTCAGGCTTTTATCTTCGAAGTTGATCTATCATGCATTATTTCAGAGATGGTTTTACACTTTCAATCATGTAATTTTTAAACTGTCGTAGGTAAAACGGATACAGTACGTCGTAGCTACATCGTAGCGGTTGATAAACATTTCCGCTATATCGTAGCTAACGTAGATGCCACTTTGTGCATGTTTCAAACCTTTCCTCACTACCAGAACAATAGAGATTTCTTTTAAATGCGATGTAGCGAATGCACACTGTATCTAATTATTACCAAGCATAACACCGTTTTATACAAGCTACCTACATTGTTGCGGCGGCGTAGCAAAGAAACTGCACCAAGATTTTGCTTCATTAATTTTCAAAAATATCTTTTACAAAACAGATCTTTATATCAAATACTTGTTTCTGCCGATGACTCCTTCAACACGGAGTTAAAAGGCTCAATTAGTAGTCTATGTATCCTTCCAGACTATGCTCTACATCAATGCCAAATGTTATTAAAATCCATTCAGCCGTTCTGAAGATAAATTCTGACAAATATCCATCAACTCATCCATCCATCTATTATACATTTGCATTTATAATATTAGTAAGATTAAACTCTATAAATAATCCTTATTTATGTCTCATATCTGTAACGAAAATGAAGAAACACATTTAGTTTTTGATCTTTTTACAGATGATTTTTCCAATTGATTTTGTTTTGTATTATGTAGTGATAACAATAAATCTGAATATTACAACATACGATATGAACTTATACACAAAACAATGCATAAAAACTATTTACTAACCAACTGTACTTTTATATCGCTCATTGTGTTATTGACATTCAAATCGATCTTGACATATAGAAGTCCTATAGAAATTACAGGCCTTTGTGTTTGTACCAATAAGAGTTTGATAGTTGGTTACACAGTATTTTCATTGTCCATACACCTGTACAAAAACATATAGTCATCTCTATCATTCCCTTCGAATAAAAAGAGATAACAATATATTTTGGTATAAGTGTTTAAAACAGTGTAAAGATACAATTGATAATAATAATCGGTAAAATTGTATTTTTATAAATAATATTAGCAGTTGTTTTTATATCTACTTTTTCGATTGATATAAAATGTCGTCAGCTGTATGCCTTCACCGAGGGGTTGAGACCCTTGCAAAATTAGGGGTGACGAGACCATAGACAACTACGCTGGCCCAATGCGGGTTGGTTGACTTTACACATAACTTTGAAGTTCTTCTCCGATATGTTCAGGTTGCATGTTTTCAACCACAGTAATAACATTGAATAATGTACATATGAAATTCGAAAATTGGAAAATATATACATTGGACCATGGCGGGGATCAAACGTAGACGTGTAGATTTCGGTCCGGTCCGATCAAGCGCTTAACAACTGTGCCACTGACGCCCACATACTATTGACATCATACGAGAATCATAGAAGAAAATCATGTAATTTTACTACCAATTTAGATTATGGATCATCCTATTAATTATTACTTTTTCTTTGTTAACAGGTAGCGTCGATTTTAAAAGATCTCAGGATTAGCTCTAGTTATAAGGAACTCTAGAGGCATTTAATATTACGCCTACAAGTGTTAGAAAATTAGTGAACAAAAAATTAGGAACAGAAGAGTGTGATTATTTTGTCGTCGATTGTAATTATATAACGTCAAAGAAAAAAAATTAGGTAAGCTTTTAATTTCCTACAATATAAAGAAGTAACTATAGTAGAGGTCAGTCTAATCTCTTATGCCACATAAGAGAAAGAGATGTAATTATCGTAAAGAAATGAAGAAGGGTGACCACGATCCAAGGTAGAATGAAAGCCAATATTATTTTTTAAATATTGGATCTGATCACTCGATCACTTTAGCTCGTCGATTTGTTCTCATAGACCGTTACAGATTATTTCATAGTTTTTTCTTAATTTTGAAAGTCTTTACAAATCATTGTTATAAATCTAGGCCGGAAAGCCTAAAGACACTTCGTATACAATGGATTTAATTTTTATTCGACATTAAATTACGAAATATAAAAGTGGGCAGTTACTATAACAAGTTATAAATTAGATTTTAAAAAATCTGTTTTTAATTTTAAATCCACTTCCGCTTTCATAATTCGTAAGTTTTATAACACCTTTCATAAGAATGAAATTCTGTGTTTTTTTTTGGGTTAGAATTTTTTCTTAATCTTACGATGACATTCTTAATAAAGTGTGTAGGTATTAAACGTACATCGAATTTACGTACTGAGCTGGCGCAGCGACCCAAAGTGGCTTTTAGACGCGAAAGAGATTAAGTTACGTCATGTTTACTCAAGAATATTTCTAGTATACAATTTGACAAATCAGCACATCTTACACAAACAAAATTTAATCTGAAGCTTAAAAGATTTATATTTCATAACTAGCTGTCGCCCGCGACTCCGTCCCCGCGGGATAATAGATGTTGGCTGATTCTCAGACCTACTCAATAAGTTCACAAAATTTCATGAGAATCGGTCAAGCCGTTTCGGAGGGGTATGGGAACGAAAATTGTTACACGAGAATTTTATATATAAGATATAACTGCGAACTACTTAAGAGAAAATATAATTGTACTACCTGTCACCCGCGACTCAGTCCGTACGGAATTAAAAAAAACTTAATAAGTAGGCTGTATGTGTTCTTGCAAACTCTTTTCTGTAGGTGTGCCAAATTTCATCAAAATCCATTGTTCCGTTCCGGAGATACCTTCAAACAAACACCCATCCATTTATCTAAACATTCGCATTTATAACATTAGTAAGATAAGAAGTATGATGTATCACGTCTTCATATTTCAGATGGCACACCAAGTAAGCTCAAAGACTGCCGAATGATCGACGATATCTCATCAATAACAACTCACCTTCACTTAAAATTGTATACTTTTATATATTTGTGTCTTTATTAAGAACTGTGATATTTGTGTTAGATAAATACGTTTGTAAATATATAAATAAGTCATAATTATACTATAAATAACAATAACTTATTATAGTGTTAAGATTTAAAAGAAATATACGGTATGTATGTTAACTGTTTATGTGTTCTTTTTTATTTAATACCTTAACTTATAATTTAACCTATGTTTTGCATTTACTTCATTTGTTTGACTGAATAGAATTGCAACTTGCATGCAGAGTACACAGTACAGAGTATGTATTTTAGATAAATGTTGCGCAAAAGGAAGCAGTGTGCTTAGCATTAATATTTGTGACACGTGCCATCGTATCGGCATCGACAAAATTTGTGTTAAAATTAATGCAGCATATCAAGCGTAAAGTACACCGAAAATCTCATACAAATTTTGAAATAAATGACGATACGAAGGCGTTTGCCGCAAATATTCGTGCAAGGCCCACAGTTCTATTGACGTCTGATCATCGCTACATACAGAATATACAGCTAGACGTTTTTATAATAACGCATAGAGGCTTTCTTTTCTATGGCTGCTGTAATATATTATGCATTGAATATTCTGTTAAAACCATAAGTAATATGTCTAGAAAAGTAAATGTTTAATAATATCAGGGAACCAATTTTTGAGAACTGTTTTGATATTGCCGTATTTTTTAATTATTTCTTAGTACATCATGTTTCTAAATTCATTACAACAAACGGAAAATCGACTATTGGCACTTTATACAACGCTTTATTCTATTTAAGGCCGACAAAATGTTTACAAAAGACATTAAAAAATTGGAACTGGAAAACAGTTTAAATTGATAGTTTAAAAAAATTTACGGCAATGACTTTAAATTTGCCAATTTTTTATCATGTTGTTTGTCGTTCAATTCTTCGAATTTTGGTAGATCTATGCCGTTGTTCATTCGACGTTTCGAAATGCCCACTCTTAAATTCATTGTAGTCTTTAATTGAAATTATCAAGAATAAGTTAGGTTAGTTAGGAGTTATCTAATATTAGTCCAATTCTCTTAAAATTTGAAAACACATTTTTAAAATGTTATTCCATCAAACTTTCACAACATTTGACTTTGCTAAGATTATAATTTATTACAACTTAAGACGATTAACTCGAAAGACATGAACAGAATCAATTTGTGGAAACATTAAATTCTTTTCTGATATATTTTAAATGCAAATCAATATTTTAAAAGGTGTGGATCATAACAAAATGTATTTAAGACATGTTAATATCTGCATTAAAATATCGACAATTAATATGCAAGATTTTGCAGCGTCGTTAAGTGTACTTGGTTTGCGACATCACGTCTGCTCGCCGGCCGCACAAAAGCGGCGACAATGGGCCGAGGTCGTGCCTAGGTCTTCTGTAATTGTTAATACGGACCTGCTTTACATCGGGCTTATTCAATGTAACAAAGCTGAGGTCCATAAAGTGCGGCGAGGTCCAAAGAGGCGATGCGTCACGGCCGCACAATGCAAACAGCCGGAGTGTCGGCGCGTGTGATGCGCCCGTGTCACAACAGCGAGCTCAGTGCACGGCGCCGTGCCCAATCGGCCACAATGCTGGTGGCCGATTGCAGCCATACACAACGCCGGTGTCCACTAAACCTTTGTAAGTCGATATCACTCTCGCTGTACTTTATCATATCTACGTAGATTTTCATTTAAAAATTTACTTGATTTTATATCTTAAACTTATTAGAAGTTTTGGAGTGTTATGCGTTGACAAATATCAGAAGCAGAAATTTTTGTCACCAGTTCTTATATTGCCTAGAAATATTGCCCAAACTGAATACGGTAAAAGGTGCAGGAATGGTAATATGAGATGATCAAGCTAATCCTACTCTAGTTTACACAACCTACGAGAACCCCTTGTCTGTCTCATAAAAAGGTGAGCAGGGCAATGCATCGATAGGCCACCACTACCAATTAACATCCCCAAAACTTTTGTATTGCGGTTGTTAAATAGATGTGGTGGTATCATCAGTTTATGTCGACTAAATATCAGCAATAATTTACATTTTATAATTTTTATGATATCTTACTTAGAAATGAAATTTTATTAAAACGGCTCTAGATGTCGATCGTAACACAAGTAGTAGAATCGCCGATACATATCTAAAAAGCTAGTCGATTGCAAATCCAAATCAATCAGCCGTCAACATTTTTAATCTACTCTATTAGACAGCTTCAGATCTGGCCGCATTCAATTGAAACAATATTTAATGGTTTGCCGGTCGACGAGTAAAATAAAACGGTAGAACCATAAACATTCCACGTTTAAATTCGACCTCTGACGGTCGATCGTGCTCTCCCTTTTACTCGCAATGCATCCCGCTCCCTCTGCGCCGGTACGTCTGCGGGAATCAACTGGCTCCGGATTTGGTCCAGCGACTCCTAAACTGAATCCCTGGAACTTGACACACACATGACATTGATCCACGATTTAATTGCACACACTGGACTGGCATAGTACTAGCTGATGATGTAACAGTGATTTTGATTTTGAATCGACACTGAGACAAGAAAATTGGATCTTAAATATTATTAGAAACGTTGAAATAATTATATTGTTTGTAACATACGGATTGTTCAGAAAAGCGAAGTTTAGGGATGTATAAAATTATGTTTTGAGTATAATTTCTTCAAAAGTTTAGGACGCGCTGGTTTTGAGATCTGAGAAGATAAAAATGGTACGGCTCATAATGTTTTAACGGGTCCGGGTCTTTGAGCGCGTCGAGCCGATGCCCAATTTAATTTTCCCTTTTGGGTACGTAATAATTGCCTTGATTCGTTCTATGCGAGGATTCGAATCAGAAGTCGGCGGGTTCGGGGCCGGCTTAATCGATTCAATTTAATTGATTCATTTGTATATTCCCGCATTAAGTGCGGACATAGATATGTAAGTTTCAGTTCTTTGGTAACTGACAAAAACATGTTTTATTTTATATAAGAAGCCTCCATCATTACTAGATTCAACTCTATTCAAATATTACTTATATTGAATGTTTCGTATACGCTCGTGAGATGTAGATAATGTGTAATTTTAAAAGAAAAATAAATTTCGCACCGTTATAACAGATATTTCTGTATAAAGAATTGGTCACAGTGCGGTACAATAGCGCCGCGACACCCACAGCACACAGCAGAGGCGGCCGAGACGCGGCGCGGCGGCCGCGGCGCACAAAGCACCGCCGTATACAAATAAATAACGTCGCAACAACAAATATTTTAATAAGCACTTCTAAAGAATTGTTCAACGCTATTTAACACGCATGACGCACTGGCATGTCTTCCGACCACCTAACGTACGATCAAAACCATAAAAACACATTCGATTTTCAATCATATGACAAAGCAAGAGAGTCGATAATCATTTAATGTCATCATAATGCGGTTACTTATGTCAAGACGCCATGACCAATGGCAGTGTACGTTTGTCCGTCGGCGAATATTGATCTTTTCGACAAACATAAACTTTTATGAGAAGCGACGAGAAGAAGTGTCGATGGAAAATTGGAAAAAGGCAAGCGTGAAACGGCGGCAGATGTTTTAAAAAGTAACGGACGGTTGTTGTCCGGTCGCATGCATCCTGCAGAATAAATACGAGCATTTACACATCTGCCTGGACACCCCCTTGTAGGGCAAGATTGTACACTATTCTACATATTTATAGTTAAGTTTTAGTACATTATTCCACAATGTTTAGAGCTTTTGGCAACAAAGATCAATGAACTTTTTCCAATTAACAAAATTGTGTGACGTTATAAACATCATAGAACAAGGAAACTTTCTTGATACTTCCCTAAAAACCCAACTGACTGTTTCCTGTTGGGCCGATTGATTCGATGGATCAGTGGGCCGATCGGTCCAACGGCAACCCCAAAACAATATTATATATGTCTGACACATGAATTAAATGTATATGATAAGACAAAA